AGGCTTTTCTCAGCCCTGAGGCTGAGGCCAGCAGCTGGGCTTTTGAGCCCCAGGGCTGTGCTGGGAACTGTACAGAAGTTCAGTTAGATGGGTCAAGTGCCACAATCTAAGTTAGGGCGCAGACAAAAGTGCAGCTCCCTGATGTAACTGAGAACAATTTTGCAGAAAGTGTTTTGACTTGCAATGATCCCCCGGACCAAACAGAAGCTCACTGTTGGCTCCAGAGGGGAGGGGAATCTAGCTGCTGGCTGGGAGCTTGCAGCCGGTTTCCCCTAGCAATGGCCCCCGCTCCCTGCCAGTCCGCAGAGCTTTCAGAATGGGAGGGGGGAAAGGGAGCAGGCAGAACTCATCCTAGGGGGTCTCCAGCTAGTGCTGGTGGGGTGGGTGAATTGGAGCCCCCTGCCACTTTGGGGGGCCTCCAATACTCCTGTCCCACCCTTCAGCAGGGGCTGAAAAAAACCACAGAGCAAACTCCTCCTACTCCCTTTCCCCCACTCCCAATCTGAAAACTGCACTGCCTCACAGCCTCTGAGCTAACACAAGTTACAGAAGATGTTTTGTTTTGAAACATCTGACCCCTCATGCTATGAGGGTTAAGGTTGTCACCCAACTGGCCATTTTTGAAGCAGTCTGCAACAATACACTCATGTTTGGTCACGGCTATAGACTGCTATCCGTGGCCAGATTGAGCAAAAATTGTTACTCACGTCTGCGCCCTTACACTACCTCAGAGGTATACTTAATTTGGATTAGGTCGGCCATTTTTAAACTGATCTAACTGTCCTGAACTTCTGTACAGTTTGCACTTACATTGATCTAACTAAGGATCTAAGTGTACGGTCTTCACCTGGATGAAAAGTTAGATCAGGTGGCCATTTTTAATGTCACATGATTAACCTCCCCCTAGCCACCCTGAACATTTGTATGTATCCCAAGCATCTGCCCCAGGGATGAAACAAACTAGAGTTGTGGAGAGAGGACCTATATACCAGTATTACTTACATCGGTGCCTGGGTACTTCCTTTTCTCAGGATAACTTTACTTTGGAGCGAAATAACTTATATTGATGCTAGGCTGCATTGTCTCCACAGTGACATTGGTATAAAGGTAAGTTACAGGAAAGTAGGACTGGAAGGGACCTTATGAGGTCATTTAATCCAACCCCTGCTCAAGGCTGGATCATCCCTGACTAAACCTTCCCAGCCAAGTGTCTGCTTGACTTCTTCAGAGATGGAGATTTCACAACTCTAGGTCGCTTGTTCTACATACACACACCAGAAGCCATCCTTAAAATAGATAAAAACCAGAACTTCCTCCAAAAAAACACTGGAAGTTGATGAGAAATATTACATATCTCTAAGAAATAAGTTAAGTTTCAGACAGAAAGTTCATGAAGATATTTGAGCACTTGTCTAAAATATGAAGTCAGTTATCCATACCTTTTGTGCTGAAAATCCTTTGAGAACACACGTTCTTCAGGTTGTCTATTACTTTCCCCTTCTTTGATTAAAAATGCTGCAAAGACAGCCTCTCTCCTGGTATTTTACCCTATTGCTCTGGGGCCAAGGACAGGGTACAACCTCACTGTTTGCCTGCAGTTCTATTCACTCATGACACTCACTAATTTGGTCTTTGATCTTGGCCAGAGATGTCAAAAAATGAAAAGTAGTGGAGGGGAAAATAGGCCATATTTTTCTGAACCCCCCCACCCAAAAAGACAGAGTGTAAAGTTCTGGGTTCATTCACAGTTGCTCAAAAGGACAAGTAATGTTACAGCATCCTGGCTTGAATGGAGAAAGATTTTTGCAACCAAAATAAGTGGAATGAGAAGACATTGTGTCATTTATGAGGAACAAACCTACTTAGTATCCAAATACAATAGACATAGGGAAGCTTATCCAGGCCTGTATCCTGAATCCTCAGCAGATCTAGAATTTTGAAAGCGGGGTGCAGATGGTGTGGTGCATCCTTCTATAAACACCACCACACATTTTTCCACAATTAAAAATAAAGTAGAAGCTTTACTAACATGCTAGGAGCTGAGGGCTGTATTATACCATTTCAGATTGAAGCAAACATAAACATAACTTCATTGGAACGAGTTAAAAAACAAATCTGCAGGGCTGTGAAATAGGAGCTTCATTACCAGGGGCAGCTATCAGACAGCAGAATTGCAAAGCAGAGGATAGCTTGATTGGTGGAACAGCAAGACCATTCAAAAGGAGAGTGTTGTTAATACCTGTGGGATGCAGAGCTTAGAAGGGATCAGGTAGAGGATAATGAGACAACGTCAACTGACTCCCTCAGCGCTGCCCCACTAGAAATGCTGCGGCCACTGCCAAGCACTTGCTTTTAAAACTTTGGGCGGAGCAGGAATCAAAGCAGGGTGAAAGTGCACCCATTGCATCTGCCCCTGTCCTAAACTGAACAGAGCGCAGTCTGAAGGCAAGATGCAACCCACAACAACTCTATAGCTCTGTGGGTCTCACTCCTGTTCTAGCTCTATAAGAAAGAGCGTATCCGAATGGCTTCCTTGAGATGTTATAGGTGCATGCTTCTGGGACTTGGGGAGATATCTGATGGTAAGCAAGTATAGCATTAGTCAATTGTAATGCCAGACCTTTGTGTTCTGCAATGTACGTTTCCTACATTTTCCATGGTGCTAGCCAGCACCCTAAGACTCTAGATAGTTAGCAGGAATGAGCAAAGCAAGGTGTAAAAAAGAAGCCTTCCCCTGACCCTCCTCACCAAACCACTGATAGCTTTTAGAATTGAAAGCTTATTAACGAACATTTTGGGGAGAAGGACTAATCTAGTATTAGTCACATAGTTTTCACCCTTATCCTGCAACATGCATTTGCGTTACTGATTTCCAGCCAAGATTGGGATTACGTGGTGCCAAATTGCAATGAAAAAGGCTTTTCATTTTCTGGTCAAAATAAGCAGCACAACTGCCAGAAACTGCACAGAAGATCTTCTTCTTATGAGGTCTCCAAGCCTGGAGACTTGGATAATTCAGTTAAACTTCAACTTTTTGAAAGAGCATCTAAACAGAACCTTGATTCTGTACCACTGGAAGCTCACCAATCACTATTTATTAGATGCTGCTGCTCTCTCACCTCTTACACTGCTGACCTTCTCATGATCTGGGGGGGAAAGGGGGAAAGAGTCGGGCAGAGTCCTGATTAGTTTCACAGAAAGTCTGTTTTGATTTGTGAGCTCTCTAACTTCTGACAGGGAAGGTGTCAAAAAATATTAAGACTTCCAGGTAACATGAAGGTGATCCCAGCATTTGTCTGTCCAGGTAAAGGTCAAATTAAATCAATTCCTCCAAAATACTCGTGAAAAGTCAGAAAAAATAAACATCAGATTACGTGAATAAAGATCAGCAATCATAAGTGATGTTCATATCAGAGCTTTTATACGGGTGACCGTCTTACTATTCAGGACAGGGCTCTCCCTCCATCGTCTCTGATTGATAGTTATTTGTCTACTTGTGAATAATTCATTGCAAAGAAGGTATTTCACAAATTATTGTCATTTTATACCACACTTGTCACCTTGGCATGCGAAGCCCTTGCAAAAGAGAGAGAGGCACAAGTGGAATCCAACACAATAAGTCTCTTCTCATGGCATCAAATTAGTCACAACTCATTGCTGTCATTATGGCTAGTGGCAAAAAAGGTATCAGTAGGCATGTCTGCATGTGCACCCGACTAAAGTAACAGCTGGTACTGCACAGTCCTGGTGTTGTACAGGTTGTTTCTGACCCTACTGCGCAGTAGCAGCAGTGTCATGGTTTGTGCCCGCCAACACTGCGTTGCCATTGCGACGAGCTACATCACCATAGCCCACAACTACAGCGACGTACCATCTCATGTCGATGCACCCAGTATCACTTAAGCAGCCCATAGGACATACTGGGCTGCTGAAAACTCAAAGCAGCATCTCTAAATTTCACAGGAAGCACTCGCGTAAACCCCTAGAAAAGCAAATGGTTTTATGAACCTGCATACAGTTTGGAAAGTTTGTGTTTAAGCGACGTCTCCTGCGATCTGCAAATCTCAGCATCTCTAATCAGGGAACTTGCTGGGTTGCAGTGTCTGATCCAATGCTGGCAGTTTCATTCAAGCAGACTGTGCTAATGGCTCTTACAAATGAGGCACGCTGGCAACCAGGAGTTCTGCAAAATCAGCTCCATTCATTCCACTGTTAGACCCCCACTACGACCCTTGGTGTGAATGGCTACGTACCACTTGGCTCCAACATCCATGCTGCAAGATGATTAACAACAAGGCATACGCTCTGAAGTATGTCATGTCTAGTAGACAAAGAAAAATCAATGAACTAGAACTAGCAATAAATGCCAGTGGACTGTATGATAGCAATTTTGCCCTTGGTATGTGTCTGGCCCATTTCACTGGAGGGTAAATAGGCAAGAAGTAGAATATTCTTTCCCAAAGGTCACAATATGTCAGCAGTAGAGTGTGGGAAAACCCACCACAGACTTAGCCTGGGAAGCAAAGAGACAGATTTTCCTCTGTCCTGAATTCTCTCTTCTCAAGAGAAGTTTATTTATAGACGGAACGAAGCCTCCTTCCACGTTCGCAACGTATTTCTAGTCTGAGATGAGAACATGGGAACTTGGTTTCAACAGTGTCTTTGCCATCTGCTCGTAATGGCAATAAATAGTCACCCATAGTTTTTCTCCGAGTGGTGTGCTTTAGGGACAGCGGGTGACTATACATTTGGAATGGGAGCATCGTAGGGAGCACCAAATCCTACAGTTGGCTACACGGGTGTAAACCCCGAATGGCGTCATTAGAGTTGCCGTAGACTTAGCTGAGGTAATCGACAGCAGAGTTCTGGCTCAGTGGGTGCGTCTACATGTTCATTAATGCGTTGCAATTACAGAGCATTACGTTTAGTACCTTTAATAACAGGTACTAACTTAATGTGCCATAATTGGTGTTACTGTGCAGTAGCGCCAGTGTATGCTTTTTTGTGACACTAATGTGCAGTAGACCAATTCTACTGTGCATTAACGCAGTCACACGGTTTTTGCCTGCCACGCTAATGTGCAGTAGAATTAGTTTAGTGCACATTTATGGCTCGTGTAGATGTGCCCAGTGACTCCTAGCTGTGTTTCCAAATCTTGGCTTATCCCTCTTAGTGACTGCATAAAATTAAAAAGCTTCTGGTAATAGGCAATCTAGTATGAAAATCTACTCCCCAGTGGCATTTCAGCCAGGTTTTGATGAAC